CTCTTTTGTTAGGTATAGGATACCTAATCCATTTTAAAACGGAGTTGAGAGGCTTGTAATTAATTACAAGTCTGGGAGCACCTCTTTCTTTCTCAGAGTTTTTATTAACGTAGAAGGCAGAGCAACTCCAAGTGGATTTTGAAACTCTGATGATGCCATTTTTTAAAAGAGTATTAATCTCTTCTTTGCAATATTCCATCATTTTATGATTCATCTGAATGTGCCTTGCTTTAGTGGTAATAGCCCTTTCATTGAATCCTTCAATGTATGGTAAGGAAACAATATGCTTTTTTCTATTCCAAAAAGCATTAGGAAAATCGGAACAAATTTCCTTTTCAAATTTCTCTCGAAGATTTGCTATTTTGTTAACAATCTGCGGGGTTTTTAGAATTTTCTCAATTTTTTTAATACGGATTTCATCCTTTAAAAAGGTGAGATGTTGAGAAAGTTTGTTTATTTTGAAAACAGTTTTTTCTCTGACAAAATCACTTTCTTCTTGAGAAAGAGTTTTTACAAAAGGGAAAAGGAGATCTTTTCCTAATATATTAGTGGAGATGCCATCCAGTGAAGTAAAATAAGGTTTTATTTGGGTAATAAATGGTATTCCTAGGATGATATCTTCATTAATATCTTCAGTAATAACGAAATCATTTGTTAAACAAATGCCATTATTGCAAATATGGGCTTTAGAAAGCTTATAGTTTATTTTCAAAAGTTCTCCTGTAGCGGAGTATAATTTTGAAGTACTTTTTTATAAATACTGAAGAGAAACAACACCTTTCATGATGCAGTTTCTATCAGCAACGCTATCATGCAAAGCAACTTTGTTAATAACAAAATGTTTGTTAATCACTATTTTGATAGGGATATGATGGCTCTGAGGTCTAAAAGAGGAAATTACTGTTAAACCTGGTGTTGCAGAAGTGGAAGCATTGTTATTGGTTTGTATAAAAACTTCTGGTTCAACCAAATGGTTATTGTTGATGTCATGTTGATTGATATCATCCTCATTATCCGAATTGGTTTTTGAGGAGCTGTGCCTAGATTCATAATCTAAGAAAGCTGGTTTTTTAGAAATCTGACGGATAGGAGTGTCAGTTTCTATCATGGAAAGACGGGATTTGATTTCTCGAATTTCATTTTTGAGAAGAGAAACTTCATTACGAAGATCCGCAATGGTTGGTTCAGAATGATTTTCTGAACGATTCATGATTTGTTTCATGCTGAAAGGTTCAACAATAGGACGAGACATTGGTTTGTCTCTATTGAGGATCAAATTTTTGAGTTCTAGGAGGAAACGATTCCTAGCCTCATCATCATTGATATGTTGTATGACATCAAAAAGGGTTTTTTTGAGTTATCAGAAAGAACCCTAATCTGAGGTTCTTTTCCGCAAGTGCAGAATGCTTCAGTGCAAGTGCAACCTTTTTCTGATTGACTAGAATCTGAATAATAGTCCAGGTTGATGTTCTCATCTGAGCTGTTTTCTTCAGATTCATCTGAAATGTTAGAAAATGGTTCATCAAGGATAGCGAGAAGTTTACCTTTCGTCTCCTTATCCATGTCAAGAAGATTGATTTTCTTTTTCTTTGTTTTTGAACGGCATTCGTTTGCTCTATGGCCTCTTTTTCCAAAGTTCCAACAGACGTCTTGTTTCTTTTGGGTTGATCTCTTGGATCTAGTTTTATTTCTTTCGGATTTGGAAAATTTAGAGGAATCATCCTTCCTTGTTGATTTTCTTCTGTAGCATTTTTCTCTTTCCTCCTTCTTCTTAGTATCCGGTGGAGTAATAAACCCAAAATCTCTACAAAAGCTTCCAAGTTCTTTCCTTGAAGAAGATTGTTCCTTCTTAAGCTGGTGTCTTAGCTTGATGTCTGTGCATAGCTCTAGGGCTACGATGTTAATGGTGCTTACCAGGTCACCATAGGTAAGATTATTATACGGAATACTACCATTATTCCTGTCTTGTATTTTGGTTCTTACCTTATCTGCAAAAAGAGGAGGTAAGCCACTGATGAAACGTTCCTTCCAGTTTTCCAAATTGCAATCTGGACGGATCATGACTTTTCTCAAAAAGGCATGTATGTAGTGGATGAAGTTTTCTATGTTTGGGAAACTTAGATTACTCAGAATTTGGAGACTCCTGTCCTGAAATAACTTAGGTTCTCCAATAAAATGTTTAGCAATATGGTAAAGCAAAGTGGCACAAGCGTCTTCCCTTGTTTGAGTAGAAGTTGTTTGTGTGTTACCTTCCATCTTTACAACAGTTTCATTTGCTGTTGCGGTGATAATGAGATGCTTGACTTTGTCAGTGCAGTAATTGTCCCACCAATGTTTTAACATTCCAGTGAAACCTGCAATAATCATATTTGCAGCATCTGTGTCTGAGGACCCTCGCATTTTGTATGCGGTGATCGCTACTCCCATTTCATGGAGTTTATTGTAAACTTTGTGTTCTACAAGGCCATCAATATTCCATTCAGTGATGCTCCTTCCTTCATGAGATGAAGTGGATAAGAAAGCATTTTCTTCATACTACAAATCTGGAAAAGATGGTTTGCTGTGGTAGTTTTTTATGTTATGAAAACGACTGTTTCCAAGTTTTTGGAGAAGATTGGTTTTTTCAGAAGATGGGTTTGGATTGGTTTGGATTGTGGAAACACTTTCTTTATCTTTCTTTTTGGAGATGTTAAAGTTATTAAGTTGAGTGTTGATTTTTTCGATGATACTTCCTGTAACTTCAAATGTATCAGAAAGTTTTGGGAATTTTTCTTTGGAAAATTCAGGTATTTTAAATCCTGGGTAGGTTTCAATTTCATGATTGGATGAAGTAGAAGCCGGTGTTGGTCTTCCACTAAGATATGGTCTTGTGTCTTCTATTTGTCTAGAGACCACATTGAGGAGTTGGTTTGTATAGTTGTTTTGTTCAACAATTCTATCAATATCTGCAGCAACGAGTAATGCGCCTGTCTTATCACTCTTCTATTTGAAGGGAGAGGCTTTAATCACTGTACCTACAATAGGAATATTGATTCCTTCAAGAGGAGGAGTGGTAGATTCTACTATTTTGTTAGAAGATGTATACCATTTATTAATGATAACTTGTAAAGACTCAGTACAATTTTAAATTCTACCAGTCATTACAAACCCTTTGAACCTAATCCAACTATTGTGCAAGAACAATGGATTCACCCTGACAGTCAAGTCAGAAGAAAATGGTATGTTTCCTCTTATACTCTTAACTTCATTGTACATAAGAGAGAGAGAGAGATATTCAGAATACAGTGTAATTTTCTGATGCTCTCTAATGGGAATTTAATCCTCTTTTATAGAGGGAAAATAAATGCCTTTTAACTGAAGGCTTACAAGTGGATGGCTGAGATATTGCCGACACTAGGGGGGGCTATCAAAAGATAATGGGAATCTTCTCTTTTGATAATGCATCTTCTTTTGATAAAGGCAATAGTGCTTTCCAAAAGAGCTTTGTCCTTTAGCCTCTCAGTGGATGCCAGTTTAGAGATAATGAAAGTTACTAACACAAAAGATAATTCCGGCTTTGCCTCTATCTTTTGCGAAAGGTCATTTCCTATTCATAATCTGTGTCCATGTAGGCCAAGGCTAAACCTTTGGGATTGCACATGTCACCATTATCGTCATCTTCCCCTTCAGAAGAAGCAACATCCTTGAGTAGTTTGAAGATCTGTTCCTCAGAATGATCTTCGATGTTGTCCATAGCTTCATTCAATTTTTGTTTGAGGGATGCTTTGGATAATTTCTTTTGAGAAGTCTGGACCTTCTCAGTGTTCTGTACTGCTGAATTTCCTTGCTGTTTAAGAACCCAACCTTTTATCTGTATTTGTTTGCACAAATAATTGATGCGATCTATTTCGCTTTTGACAAAGTTCCAAGTGATGATATAAGAGATTCTTTTCTTAATGTAATATTTGCATATTTTTATATGCTCTGGTAATGTTGTTATCTCCTCCTGGGTTTGAAATTCTGCATACCTAGCGAAGAATCTTTGGGGTAGAATTTCCTTGGTGCCTCCAAATAAATTCCACCATTCATAAAACCATCGTGGGATGATGGCCTTTGTTAGTGGTGTGTTGTATTTAATAAACCAAGCGTGCCTTGGTCTTACATAGAGGAAGTTAATCCATGCGGCCTTAATAGGAGTGGTAGATTCTACTATTTTGTTAGAAGATGTATACCATTTATTAATGATAACTTGTAAAGACTTAGTACAATTTTCAATTCTACCAGTCATTTCAAACCACTTGAAGAATTCGATTTCACAACCTATTCTTCTCATATCTTTCATCCAAATTTCCCTGAAATTTTCTCTTTGCTTAAGAGTATAAGAGGAAACATACCATTTTCTTCTGACTTGATTCTCAGGGTGAATCCATTATTCTTGCAGAATAGTTGGATTAGGTTCAAAGGGTTTGTTTACCTTTAACATTCCCAACCAAGCAGGCTTATCAGTAGGCGGTTCCATCTCGCTTGCTGTAGGACTCCCTGAAATGTCTTGGTAATAAACTTTAGGTACATTACCTCTGAAAACAACCCCTGTTACCTTACCTTTACTATTGTCTATATCACTGTTTGCAATGGTAATGTTGTCTTCCTCTTCATCGAATGTTTTGGAAGAAGATGGTTGGTGAGTCATCTTAGAAGGGCACGAAGAGGAGGGTGACCAAGACGATCGTCGAGCAGATGAAGATCTCATTGATGGATTCTCAAGAAATTTTAGATCACTAGATCCATCGGGAAACTGAATAACCCTTTCTATTTGGGATCGTGGGGGATGAGAAGTAAAAGGTTGCGTAATGTTCTCAAAATGCCATTCATTATTTGAGAGAATATCCTTCCATTGTAAGGTTCTAGGAACAAAAATAGAACTATGTGAGTGGTTAGCTTCCATGATCATGGTTTCTCCTCTGACGGTTTCAAGACACGCTTTTGGAGCAAGTTGTGTTTTTATAAGTCTATAATAGACCCTATAGAACTACAGCAATTTCTCTCGAATCAGTTTTGCTATTAAGATTTTTGGTTTTGACATTGAGAGTCAGAGTGTCTGTGACATTAGGATCATTAATGTCAACCGAGAAATTAGGATAACAGTTGAAGTAAACTGGTCCATCAGTGAGATTACTTTGAAGTAATCCAAGAAGGGAATCGTCAAAATTAAGAAATCTGTCATCTCTGAGGAGAACGCAGACAGGAATATCAAGACCTCTTCTGAACAGAGGTTTTACAGCAACTTGAACTAAACCAATATGCAAATAGTTGAATCTAGATTTGTACCTGTCTAGATCTTTGTCTTTGACAAGACGAACAATTTCAGAAGAATTGTTAATGGCAATAGTAGATTCACAAGTTTTAATATTGCAACGAGTGAGGAAACTGAAATTACCTAATTGATAAATCTTTTTGAAAGGTTCTTCTTGAATACTCCAGTTTTGTAAATCATTTTCAATTTTAGCAATCATTGTTGATTGCGAAGATATATTAATTTTATTTAAAATATTTTGATTTTTATCCATAAATGAAGAAGAACTGTCTAATGGACTTACATGACAAAATTTAAGATATCAAGTAAACATAAGTCAAATATGTTGGAGTTTAAGTAATATTAATAAAATATAATTCATAATCTTTTATAAATTGTTCTATGATAGGTGCTCTTGGTCTGACAATCAAGTTCATTCTGATAGAGTCATCTTAGTTACGGGACCACCAATAGTACTAACTCTTTGACGCCCTCCTGGCTATAGCAAGTGTTCCAAGTTCAGGCTGACCAACGCATGCTCCGGATATTAATCGGATACCTCATACTCATATATGAAGAACGATACGCCTCACACCAAGTATAGAATTAATATAAAAGAATAAGAAGTATAAAATTTTGGGGACTCCATACAATAATTTTCAGGATAGACAAAGTATGGTGCATGCGGCAAGCAGCAGACTATCCGAAGATCGCAATTGTTTTTATTGTGGGGAACATTGGCACAGGAGGAGAGATTGTCCACACCCTCGCATGTTTGAGTCTGGAAAATAGACATCTCGAGCAATGGTACCCATTGGAAGCGCAAATAATGGTAGAGTACATCTACAAGGTGGGTGAGCAGGTAACTAGCAAGGCCGTGGAGGTAGAGGAATTTCAAATGGAGGTAGAGGTAATGCAGAACGTGGAAGGGAGGTTGATTGTGTTGATGATAAGGCTCAGTTTTATGCTTTATCAGGCAAGAATGAGTCGGAGACATCTTATCACATGTATTGTTTTTGTTTGTTATCATATGGCGAATGTGCTATTTGATTTTGATTCCACTTATTTGTATGTGTTTATGAGATTCTCTTATTTTAAGATAGTGTGTGATGTCCTTCATGCCTTATTCGTGTTTCTACCCCCGTTGAGAGTCTATCGTACACACCTGCGTCTATTGTGCTTGCCTTATTTTCTTTCTTGGATTTTAGACGAGTTTATTTTATAATTTTTGATATGCCTGATTTTGATACAATCTTACGCATGACTTTCTGTCCCCCTATCATGTTGTGCTTAATTGTAATACTAAGTGTGTGACTCTAGAATTTCAAAGAAGGGAAATATTAGAGTAGGAAGGGGTGTACAAGCCTAAGCAAGATAAAATTGTATCCTCCATCTATGATATGAAACTAGTAGAGCGGGGTTGTTTGGATTATTTGGCTCATGTTATGGATGTTTATATGGACGGTCCATCCACTAGGTTTATTCATATGAAGTATGAGTTTAGTAAATTATTCCCCAATGACTTATCTTGCATGCCTCCGGATAGAGACATACATTTCTATATTGACTTAGAGTCTAGTACTCATCCTATTTCAATTCCTCCGTATCGCATGGCTCTGACAGAGTTGACAAAGCTTAAGTCTCAAATCACAGAGCTCCTTGATAAGGGATTTATCCATCCTAGTCCCTCCCATGTGGTGCTCTAATTTTGTTTGTTAAGAAGAAAGATTATAGCATGAGGATAGGTACAAGCTACAAGCAATTGAACATAGTCACTATTCGGAATAGGTACCCCTTACCTAGAAAAGATGATCTCTTTGATCAATTGCAAGGTGCAATGGTCTTCTCAAATATTGATTCAAGATTGGGTATCATCAATTAAATTTTAGGCCAGAATACGTACCCAACATGACTTTTAGAATTTGTTATGGGCATTATGATTTATTCGTGATGTCGTTTGGGTTGCTAATGCGCCTGCAACATTTATGAGTTTCATGAATGGGGTGTCCAATTCCTTTCTTGATTCCTTCGTGATTTTATTTATTGATCATATTTTTGTGTATTTAAGAAGTGAAGAAGAGAACATTGACCATCTCCATATTGTTTTGGGTGTTCTTGGAAACCAAAAGATATATGCAAAATCTTCCAAGTGTGATTTTCGGTTGAAATCGGTTGAATTTTTCGGACATGTAGTAATATCCCACAATTTTAAATATCTAGTAATACGCTAAGAAACTAGAAAAAATTATTTTTTGAACAAAGTGAAAAATCTGGAAAATTGACCAAGTTATGAAAATATTTTTTGGTCATTTTCAAATATCTGTAACTTTTTTCTTAGGATGAGTTAGAGTTACTTCTTGATATAGATGGAAAGCTATAAAAGAGATCTTTCGAATGCCGGTGAGTTTTTGTATTTTTGGTATCGTATGAGGAAGAAATTCCAACCATAAGTTTGACAATTAAAGTAATGAAAGTCAAAATCTTGACTGAAGAAAGAGCAAACAAGTGTTTTCACCAATTCATATCATATTTTGTTTTTAGGGGTATTTGGGTAAAAACAAATCTTAACTCAGTTTTGGAAAAACAAAATCGTGCTTAGAACATGAAGAAGAGAGAAAATAATAAGTAAAAGGAGAGAAGTCAAGGATTCATCAAGAAATTCAAGATTTGCGAGTGACATTCGTCCGAGGTAATCCCAATCAAAGTATGTCAAATCTTTTGTACTGGGTTAGTTCACCTACACCCAAACTTGTTTCAATTATGTATTTATAGAATTCTTTACATGTGAAGAAGTGACTTCTTGAAGAATCCTATCAAATTCAAGTTGGTTGAGTTGTTCAAATGCCTATTGTTGTTTGTTTTATAATTTTGAGTCCTTTTCCAAGTTAAATCTATTGGGTATTGAAGGTACTAATGATCTTAAGAGTTTCGGAAAATAATTTTGGAGGTTAAGAAAGTTAAGCATTGAAATACGAGAAGAGAAAGATGTTAGACACACCTGGGCAGCACCATGTGTTGTACTCTCCATATGCACCAGGAGGCTTGGGTTGGTGCACCTACAGTGCGCTATGAAGAGGTCTTCGAACTCAAGGCCATGTTTGGCGCACACCGGATGCGCCAGAATCAACATTTTCTTCCCAGTTATTGTAGTTTAGCCTATTTTAGTCCTTCTAAGATGTATTAACACTCTCTCCAGTGATTATAATTAATTTAAATGACTCATAAAAACATAGGAATCAAAGAAAATTCAAATCATAATCTTGAATTTGTACTTTCATTGAAGGAATTCTATGATAAAAGTCAAAGGAGTTAAGAATCAAGTCTAAAAATTAGGAAACAAGTAAACGCGAAGTTCTTAAAGGTTTTAAAGAGTCTTTAGCAATATTTAACTTTTTAAGACCTAGGTTTCAAGTTAAGTAAAAAATTAAGAGTTAAGTTCATTTCTGAAAAAGTGATAAGAGAACTAAGTATTCCCTAAGAGGTTATCAAAGACTGCAGTTTAAAGCTAAGTAAAAAGTAAATAGTTGAGTACATTTCTCAAAAACTTTAGGGGAACTATGTATTCACTAAGAGTTTACAAATCTTTTCGTATATAAGAAAAGAAGGAAACTAAGAGTTCCAAAATTGTTTTAAACAAGAAAAAGAAACATTGATTCCAAGAGAGCTTTTTAAACCTACCCAAAGAACTCAGTTTTTTTAAAAACACATGAGCTAAGTATCATTTCGGGAGTAACATTGAGCACCGATGCGGGGATGTGAGTTCATAATAACTCAAGTATCCATGAAAACCATGTAGTAATCATGTATATTAAGGGGTCATACTCCTAGGATGATCACGTAAGTTAAGATAGTGAATCTACTAAGTTAAGTAGTTATATGCGACGAAAAAGTATGGAACCATTATGCCAGCGTGGGCAAGACGTTATATCACCACATAAGCTCATAGTGATTGTTTTAGGTTAGAGAATCTACCAGAGGAACTATATTATTTTATATATAAGTAAAGTAAGTTTGATATTGAATTTCTTTAAAGAACTAAGTGTTTTCATTGTTTTACAATCTTTTATACATTTCTTATGTCTATTTGTTTTATACTAAGTAAAGTTATTCATGAGTTAAGCAAAGCCAAAGTAAGTGTTCCTTCTTACTTTTCTTCAAGCTTAAGTTGTTTTTAGCATTCCAACTCGTATACTCGTACATTCAATGTACCTAAGGAAGTTGTCTTGCATCGTCTCATTATGCAGACTCAAGTAACTAGGATCAACATCATCATGTACGTTGTGTATCCAGGTGAGCATTCTGAGTCAGTGGAGGACATATTTACTCGCTTTTAGGTCTTTCTTATATAGGATGTTTGGGGGTCTGTCCCAATATATATTTGAGTATTATAGAGGTTTCATAGAGAGTCATTTAGTTTAGTATTGAGTCTCTCATTTTTGTGTTGTAGAAATTTTTCTATGATACTTAAATATCATTTTGGCCAATTTATTTAATTTATGTTATTGAATAAGACTATTAAATTGAGTTAAGTCTTCCTCTTAATAAGTTATCCATGACAAGGGTCCATTCAAGGCCAAGAATGGTAATGGAGTGCCAGCCACGTCTAGAGTGTAGGCTCGGGGTTGACACACTTTATATCAGAGCACAGATTTCAAGATTCCTAGGGAGTCTACATAGCCTTGTCACTAGAGTCCCAGTTATTTGTGTGAAGCGTGCCACAACTATAATTAGGAGGCTGCAACATGTATGAAATACTGCACTTCTTTCATATTCATTTTCATGCATTAGAGTTTATTTCTAGAAGTTTCGCACTAATTTGTTCTTGTGCGTGTTTTTTAGATAACCATGCCCCTACGAATATCACCAAGAGGTCGTCCAGCTAGGGGGAATGTAGAGGAACCAAATTTTCCCAATTCCCTTGAAGTGCAACTTCAAGGAGAAGTTTCTAATGTTGAGTTCAGAGAGACAATAAGGATGCTTAGTCAAGATGTAACGAATCAAGTTTGCCAGTAGGGTGGAGCTCGACAATAAGTGGCTGACAGTTAAAGAATTCAAGAAATCTTGAGGATGAATCCTTCAAATTTCACGGGTTCGATCACTACTGAGGATTAAAATAATTTTCTTGAGGAACAAAACAACGTTTTTCATGTGATGCACGTTGATAGTGTTGAACGAGTTGAGATAGCCACATCTCAACTAAAAAATGTGCTTCTAATTAAT